AAACCGGTCGGTCAACCGGTCGGTCGGTCAACGGCCTTTGACTGACCGTTGACCGACCGTGAACCGACCATGACCGACCGTTACCATCCCTACGCGTGACATAATGTGACATAATCTGCGGATCGCAAATCTACCTGCACGTTTATCTTTTAATTTATCATTACACCATTTTTTTTAATTTTAAACATTCCATCATCCACTAAGGATTTCATTTAGAATAAACATCACATGTAATGGTTATACAAAGAATAGTGTTCTCGTGAACTTACTGAACTTACAGGTGCTTTTCCTTTGAAAGTCACAACATTCACATATTACAGTAAATCAGGGTGTGGACCATTTTATATAAACATCATTTTTTGCATAGTTTTCGTTTTTTGTATTTTTTTTTTTTTTGGTTTTTCTTTTGAGAGAAAAAAAAATATAATAATAATAAAATAAAAAATATTATCTTTTTTTTTTATTGAATTTAACGAAAAAAAAAAAAATAATAAAATAAATAAAAATGTGGATTATTAATATAATCGCAAACTTATTCCATTTATCATATAGAATTTTGACCATTTCGATTATTACTATAAACCAATGGTTAGCGTTTGCAGCGCATTTAATAATGATGTAATAATATATATCTCTCTTTTTTTTATTTTTATTTTTTTCCTTTTTTTTTATCAATCCGTTACTTAACGTTTCTCTTTATATTAGTTTCTTCATATGGAATTCGCTATTGATAATTATTGGAATCGTATCGACTCTACAAATGATAATAGGATTCGGCTATGATGTAAAAGATTTAACTTCCTCCCCAACAACCATAAAGGATTCCAAAGAAAAAAGAGAAGAGAAGCAACCAACGTATTGGCAACAGCGTCGTAAAGCTTTTCAGGACATGATTGATAACCTTTACATAAATTACATGGAAAAATTGATCAATATACAACAAGAACAAGCAAAGTATTGTCCATCCTTTGATGATTATTACATTTATCCTCAATCACCTTATCGCTATGAGGAGTACGAAGAGGAAGAACATGAGTTAATGGAAGACATTGGTGAAAATAGTGAACTTGGTGGTGATGGTAACAATAGTCATCTTTTTGCTCCTCCTATAAAAATTACTGAAGACACTTCCAATACGTCCTTTTAACTCCTCATTTAAATATTATCACATCTTATTTTATTTAGTATACCCTCTAATTATATATAGAAGTAAAATGTAAAGGATTAAATTTTAAATAAAACTTTTTTCAATTTATTTTAAAGGAGATCTTGTGTTTATATAATTTACTAAAACAATATCAATAATAATGATAGAAAAGTAATTATCATTTTTTGAATCCATTCTAGCATTTCTATCTTCTGGTTCTCCTGAATTTCAACGCGGTTTGAGTTTCATTAGTCGAATTAAAATCGACTCGTCTAGAGATCTCGTAAATATATCAGACCTAGCTCCTTTATATTACATGTTTTTTCATAGAAATCACTGAACCTGCGCCTTGGAATGACTTGCCAGTTCTCAAAAAAAAAAATTTCAGCTTCCGAGATCAAGAAAAACGTTACACAAAAATTCAAGTGTACCGGACGATATTTTATGTATTATTTATCTTACCGTTGCTTTAGTGGAAATTTCTATTAATACCTCAAGCTCTTTTCTGCCAAGATGGCAATCACGATTTTGATGAATTTCCATTTTGATTTCGAATTAATTCTTTGTTAAAGAACTATGTTATGCTGATTCAGAGACTTTTTGGAAAAAAAAATATATTTTTCAATATGGCAGAGCGGTTAACTATCATTATTAATCCTATATTGCCCGGCCATCTTTTATCTCGGAAAGTGAAGAAGCCATTGGTTTCGAGGTTACATGATCTTAGATTAAAGTGTTCAAGAAGTTTTCAATTAACCTTTTGCCTTGGTCAGATATTTTTTCTGTAAGTGTAGTTGATCATTATCGATCGACTTCTTTATCAACTTCGTTACTATTTGAACTTCTGAGTGGGTTTTTTACTTCGTTTAATGATAATATTTGAATATTTGAAACTTGAGCTGGTCTTCTTCGACCTCAAGCCTTATCTGATGTAAGATCTTTTCAAATGAAGACTATAAATAATCATTTTAAATTCTCGATAAAAAATTACAGTTTAGATCATATAATATGAGATTCTTCCCCGAAATTTAATTGGAAGGATGGCATGTGATAAAAACGGAAAGTGTATTCTCTTTCATTAATGCTTTAAAAAGAAATATTCTTGCACAAAAAAAAAAACGAAATAAATGCACACATTATCATCATCTTGATAGTTGATCCCGATAATCACGGAAAACCTTAAGATTAGATTAATATACAGTATATGTATAAAATTAGTATAATCCGATATTGTTTTTTATTAAAACCATATGATTGATTTACTAAAAATTATTTATTAAAAGTATTAATAATAAAGTTGTAATTTTTAAAAATAAAATCTCAAAATTATAATAACTTATATAATTTATAAGATTAACTTATTATAACAACTTACAAATTTATATAAATTTATATAAACTTATATTTTAATCTTTTTTTTAATGTAGATGTTACTATTAATGTATTTACTATTAATATATATATATAATCAATTTCGATAATCCATCTTCTTAGAATTATAAGAATGGGTTTTAATAAGATTATTAGTAATTTCCAAATGTATTTAAAAGATGCTTTTTATTAAAACTTTAATATATTCTACTATAAATATAAAATATATATAAAGTATCTAAATAATTTTAAATCATTTATATACAACATTTTCTTTATTTCTTTTATAAAAAAAACAAATAAAAGCTATCAATTTTTTAGTCACCAAAAACATTGATTATATCCTTTTTAATTTTTTTGTTTTATTATCTTAATGCTAATCATCTAATTTTTCTAATTTTATGATTTGATATTAAGATTATCGGATAACCAATACTTCTTATCTTTAAAATCAGCCTTTACTTTTTTAAACCAGTTAGTTTATACAGTTAAATTTATTAAAAATCAAACAATGCATTATATAATAAATTTTAATTGACATGATTCTTTACAAGGTAAGAAACAAAAACCATGCGAAAGGCGTGAATGTTGAAAAGAATGATATTTCCACAATGAACGCTTACGAAAATATATACTAGGCTGTTTACTTATATTTAATGGTTTTTTTTTTTTGCAATCACAAGTAACTCCCAGCCATTTTATTTAAAATCATCCAATTATCATTCAAATCCGAATGTCATCATAGAAAGTTTCACTCCGAATCCTTGTGATTTTAATGATATTTGGAAATTCCCTGGAGTACAAACGCCTGAAAAAAAACAATAAAAGACATAATGCTATGCTAAAAATTTTTAGTCAAATAGGCCCGTGTTTTTAATTGTCTTTTTTTTTTTTTTTTATTGTAATAATATATATAATAAATAGATTTTTTTTTTAATGCTTTTTATAACCGCCAAATTTTTTCTCTCTTTTTTATAAGCGAGTGTATGTATATGTCTTTATACTTTATCAAAAAATAAAAAAATAAAGTTCTTTGTTTTACAATAAAACTTTTTTTAGAGGAGTAAAAAGTTAAATTTTATTTGGGGCAATACCCTCTGTTTCAACCGAAAAAAAAAAAAATTTTTTTTTTTTGAGGAGTTTCACTTTTTCTTTTTTTGGGTCTAATATCTTTTCCTTTTTTTTTTTTCCTGCACAATATATAGAAGTGGCGATATTTCTTCTGCAGTTGAAAAAAAAAATTTCTTAAAACGATAACCCTATCAAACGGTAGCTTTAATAAATTTCAAAAGAAAAAAATTTTTCTCTGACCATTTTTGACGAAACAAAAAAAAACAACTAGTATTTGACGAACAAAATAAAAGAAAAAAAATAATAGTCAAAGAATAATGTCACCTCGTACGAACTCACCACCACCGTCTTCTTATGGGTACGACGATAATGAATATGATTATCATCCTTCGGGACCTTCCACGACACCACCAGGAGGGCATCAAACTCCTTATAATAATATCCATCAATCGAATTTATATTCATCACAATATCATCAAAGTAATATAACGCCAAATGGGACAAATTTATCTAGAAATGATGTTTCAGGAACACCTTCCACCCGTACTATTTCCTCAAAGGATAATAATGATGAGGAAGGGTCGTTCACTGCATTACTTCTTCATCCATTGAATATACCAAGAAGAGTTCTTTCATCTTCAGCAGTAAAATGCGTATCCCTAATGGTATTATATTCTTTTTGTTTTACGACAGTATGTTTTATATTCTTCGTTTCATATCTTTTAACATTTTATGATGATGCCTGGAGACTATTTCATACTTCCCGTGTTTGGGCACGGGTGAGAAATGGAGTTCGAGAAAGAATTTCAATGATGGGTGATGATTGGGAGGATTTCCTTCAAAAGTATTTTGATCAACCGTGGAATGGCGATGCAAATTTAAATTGTGACGTTCACCTTGGTGCTGGTAATAATAATAATATTAATAATAATAATAATAATAACACCAACAACAACAATAATTCATCCACATCTAATGGAGGTTCAAATAATGATACAAGTTCAAAAAGAAATTCAAACGGAAATGGAACTTCAACTGGTGGTGGTAATATTCCAAATCCTGATATTAAAGATTTCAAGTGGCTAAAAGGATTGATGTTAAGTTTTATGGCTGTTGTTGCAGGTCAAGATGCTAAAGATGCAACCAATAAATTCCAACAAACTGCAAATTCCTTCCGTTCGCGACCACCTACCACGACGGTTGGAGGTGATTCTGGAAGAAGATAAATTTTTTATATACATATATATTTATATATCGCATCTTGCAGGTGAAAACTAAAAACTTTTTAAAATAAAGCCGTTTCATTTTAATTCATCTTTTATTCATGCCTTATCATCTATATCATCTAAGAATTAACAAAAAAAAACCCCCACATTCCTCCTTTTGATATTTTTTAATAAATATAAATATACATTTATCTTATATTATCTAATAACATTTTGATAGTCAAAAAAAATTTTTTTCCAAAAGGGTTGGAGGAGCTATTAAAGTAGAGTTGTAAAATGTAGTTGATATTGTATGTAATAAAAAAAAAAACTTATTTTTTTTTTCCCGAGTCGATATAAAAAAAAATGTAAATTATCTTTTTCGTAAATTGTCAAAATTCTTTTTTTTTTTTTGATTAATATTTTCTTTAAAAGCGAATTAAAAAAAAATAGAGGTTCATAAATAGAATTTTATTTTTAGTTAAAATTTTCAACGTGTTCTATAATGAGCTGCGCATACTTTTTGGGGGCGTTATAAAAATATATCTATCTATAAAAGACGTGTTTTTACTTTCACATGTTTAAACTTCATATAATGAAACTATTTTGGGATTTTAATAATTTTATAGATCAAAGTCCAATTCAGTCCTTTATCGGAATGATGTCCCACCAAAATAGACGCAATTGGGATGCGTAATTAATCAACATATTAATTGAAGAATTTATTTTATTTACTGCGTTGGGAGAAAAAGAAACTGCAGATGCTTTGATGAAGGATTTGGAGAATTTAGAAGTTGAAAGTGAAAAGAGGGAGGTGTATGATGGATGATTTAAATTAAATTGCCACTCAAAAGATATAGATTACAATAATACAAGTACAAAGGTTTACAAATTGAAAAGGAAATTTTCTAATATAAGAGTGAAGGAACGAACATAAATGATATAATAATAAATTATTTTAAGCAAAGAATAAGAGCGAAACAATTCCCAATATTAATGATGATGCAATATGTAAATTATTTCCGATAATGTTTTTTGAAACAGCTGAAGTATCAGTTTCTTTTACACTAACTAAATTCATTGTAGAGTTTCCTAAAATAGAATTTCCATCACCATCACATTTAAAAGATTCTTTGAATTGCTTGGCTTTGGCAGAAAGATCAGCTTCAACTTTTTCATCAGGACAGACAGCACTACATGCATTGTCAAAAATTATTTTTATATTATCAGCAAATACGCATAAACAGCTTGCAACTTTTCTTGAAGCAGGATATTTATTAAATTCCGAAAATTCTTGATCGGTTGTTCCATTACAAGCTGGTAAAAGCGACCTATTACGAGTCCAACATTCATAACATTCTTGTTCCATAATATCATCATTCTTTGGTTTATCAACTTGTTTTGACCCTTTCGATTTATCATCATCAGGTACTTTATCTTTTTTATCTTTAGAATTTTTATTATTTTTGGCATCATTTTTAGCATCATTCTTAGCATTGTTTTTTTCAATGTTTCCTTTAGCTTTTGGTTCCGGTTTTGTTTTAGGTGTTTCTTTATTGTCTTCTTTTTGAGCAACAACAAACGATATTAAAAATACTAACGTTATTAATACCATTATTAGAAAGACCGGCCTAGCAAACACTTTTCTTCCCATCTTATATTTTACAAAGTTGTATGACTTTAGTTAAAAAAAAAAAAAAAAGTTGAAATCTACGGCAATTTTAATTTAATGAGTGAAGGATAGGTGAAAGGAATGAATTTAAAACTTATAATCTTGGATATGTTAAAATTACATTCCAAGAAAAATTAATGAGAAAAGAGGAGGACAAAAGAATGCGATAAAGAATATTGATAAATAAATAAATAAATGTATTATATATATATAGGAGAATGATATCTTATCTTACACCAAGCTTGATATACATTTTCGTATTTTTGTAATATCTTTTGTAACTTTTTAATAAGAACACATTGAACCAAGAAATAAATAAGGCGAGAAATTTCATGTTGTGCATCATTGCCATTACTAATTGTTATACAAATAAAGAAATCGTGTAAAATTGTATGTTAGCAACACGTACAAAACAAATAAAATTAATAAATATTTCATTTAATTGTTCTTTAAAATATGCTGGATGGGGTTCATTCAAATTCATTTATTGAGATGAGTTAGAATGAATCGAAGTTTAGATTGTTTATTATGACAAGTTTAATTAGAACATCCTTATAACTTAATATTAAGAACAACTCGGAATGAGATTTCGTTATCTAAAATTATTTGATAAAAAACTATTGAAAGGGATTAAAAATGAGAATTAATCAAATAACTTTTATAATTTATTACCTCAAAGACGAATATCTTGGTATTTTAATACAACCATTATTTAATATAAAATTTTATTTTATTTTATTTTTTTTAAAAAAAAAATATTTTCCATATCTTCTTAAATCTCGCGAAGGCAGAAAAGTTGACGAGATGAAGATTATAAGAATTAGCATCATCAGCAAATTAAAAAAAAATTGAATAAAAAAAGTTATTATTATTTTTTATTTGAATACTTAATTTTCAAATGATTGGTTTTAAGTTCTTTTTTAAAGAAGCTAATTACATTTATATAAAGCTATAAATAATTGCTATGTTAATTTTATATTATATAATATTATAATTTTAGAAAAAAATGTTTATAAAAAATATTTATATAAAACCGAAAATATAAAATAATATATATTCTTCAAAAATAAAAAATTATGAATAATAATTAATAAAATTAAATTTATTATATCTTTTATAATTAGAAAAAATAAATATATATTTATCTTGTATTATGATAATTTCTAATAAGAATTAATTCATTTATATTATTTTTTCTATTTCTCTTATTCTTTTTTTTTTATTACAAAAATATTTAATAAGATCATAAGATTATATTTATAATAATTTAAAAATCTATTAAATTAATATTATTACTTTATGAATTTTGATTTCATTATAAATCTAATTATAAAAAATTTTATATTTTTATTTTATATTATTACTAATTTACAATTATATATTAATATTATAAATATTATTTAATAAAAAAAATTTATATAAAAATAAATATATTTAAAAATACAAATATAAATTAATAATATTACAATAATGAATATATTTAAGCATTTAGTAATTTATTAATTATTTATATTATAACCTAATAAACTAAAATTAATAATAATAATAATAATAATTTTGATCTAATATTAATTGATTAAATTTTCATATTTATTTATATGTAATTATTATAAAAAATTTGCTATTAATATAAATACAATTAATTATTATATTTATTCCTTTATATAAGATTATATAAAATTTCTTTATTAAATAAATTTTATATTAAAAAAAATAATAGATTATTATTTAATTAAAAAATATAAAAATTTATATTAGTTTATAATATTAAAAAATATAAAATAAAAAAATGTTTTAATAATTATTTAAATTATATATATATATATCTATTTATAAAATATATAATAATTATTAAATTTTTTACTTTACATTAATTAATTGCTTATATTAATTTATATTTTAATAAACTTAATAATAAATAATTATTAATTAATATTCTATATTTATATATATATATATAAATCTAATAAATAATTAAATTAAAAAAAAAAAAAAAAAATTTTAGAAATGATCGACATATTTTGGAAAAATAATTATTATATAGTATCGCCTTAATAA